GGGGGCAAATGACTATAACTAAGTGAGGACAGATGCAGAGTTCTGTATTGAAGCAGAAATAGTCATCGGTAGTGTTTAGCATGCTTCAGATGTTTAATGCAGCTCAGTATCAAGAAATGCTGCTTTATGAGTTGCTACGTTGTCCTGTTTGGAACACCCCAGAAGCTGTCTTTTTATTATATTTGGTGTAGGTAAGGTCTCTGAGCCTTTGTGCGGCGTACTTCAAGAAAGATGGAAGCAATTTAGAATTTCCGCTATTCTAAAATCTTTTTCTAGTAGGTGACACTGTCTATCCTATAAAAAGGAAGACTGGTGGAAAATAACAGTCACGTAGCACATAAAAGGTGGCTATGAAGATGAGTATGTAGTATTCTCAATGGTCATGGTGGATAGGGCAAATAATGGTTTTACTGAAGTTCTTTTCTGTTTTTTTTAAACATTAAACTATAAAAAGACATCATTGGTAAAGATTGTTAAGGGTTTAAACAGTGTCTTGAAGCTGTGGAATTTGTTCTAAGTGGGTTATAGAGACTTTTGATGGAATTACATGGGTATAGTTAGTTTTCACTTTAGAATAAGTCAAATGATCTTCAAGTTTCCTTCTATCCCTATTTTAAAGATATATCTGCATGGTTTTTGCAAATATAAGGAAGAGGTGCTATTGAGGACAATTTTATTTTTTTTTTAATTGTATAGGAGCTTAAAGATGCTAAAATTGCAATCCTTACTTGTCCATTTGAACCACCTAAGCCTAAAACCAAGCATAAGCTTGATGTCACGTCTGTGGAAGATTACAAGGCACTGCAGAAATATGAAAAAGAGAAGTTTGAAGAGATGGTGAAACAGGTAGTCTTTAAGATCATTTCTCTAAAATACCGTAATGTATTGATTTATTTCTGGAAATAAGATAACAATCCTGATAGGAGGCAAGATACAAGCAAATGTAAGGCTGCGAATAGAAGTTGATGTGAGAGATATCACCCTAGTTTGAAATTTACTTTGATCTCTGTGTTTGCCAGATGGTTCTTCTTGAGACTTGTGTTTTGAGAAAGTTAGGAGAATTAAAACCATGAAAAGATTGGTTTTCATTCCTGTGTTAGTTCTGATCAGAAGATGGATGTTTTTTGTTGCTTTCAGATAAAAGACACTGGTGCAAACCTTGCTATTTGTCAGTGGGGTTTTGATGATGAGGCAAATCACTTGCTGCTCCAGAATGAGCTGCCTGCTGTTCGTTGGGTTGGTGGACCTGAAATAGAAGTAAGTAAAATCTTCTACAATTGGGCTTTGTACC